GAGTACCCTTGGATATTTCATAGGAGATATGTGGAATTGATTGAGATATCATCCAATCGTCAGGTTGTTATTATTTCAACAGGCTCTGAATCCGAAGAGGGATATCTCTTAGTTGGCTTGATCACTAATTTATATGCGCAATAGAGTGCATAGGGATTATAAAGTGCAGCGCTGCTTCGGTAAAGACACCTACATATTATCATAACCCCAGTAGTACGATGTAGTCACTGGAAGCGTCAACGTAGACAGGGTTTACGTGCGATCTTAGCTTGATGGGATGCTGAAGGGCACCAATGATAACTTCCGCTTTCTTGAAGGCGAGGTAAGTATTTTCGGTTTTGGCAAAGTGCCAACACTTTTTTATTTTGCCATAACTCATGAACGGTTTATTCCGCAGCTTTCCGGATAGAAGATCAATTAGGATCAATTAACGGGCTACACAACGGTATAGGTTTCGGTAATTGATCCTCAAGTCGTTCCGCCAGTCAAAATTTACACTTTCTTTATTTTTATGATATCTCTCTTTCCTTTAATTTTTCTGACATTCCGTTTGAAGAATTCGGAGGATCAATTAAGACACTAAATATTGGCTCTAACTAAAAAATGATTGCTCGAATTTTAAATTTTGGCAAAATGCCAAAACCTTTCTATTTTGCCCATAACTCACGAACGGTTTATTCCGCTGGTATGCGTTAAAGATTCTGGAGTATCAATTAGGGCTCTACACTTTGGCATAAATTTGGGTAATTGATCCTCACTTTTAAAAAAAAATCCGCTAACTTCACGTTTTTAAAACCGTTATAACTCGGTTACGGTTAGGGATACGGATATGCGGTTTGCAGATTATTAATGTACACATTAAATACTACATCATTGCCAAGATTCAGGTCATGATCTTTTTTATTTTTTGGCAAAGTGTCAACACTTTCTTATTTTGCCCATAACTCATGAACGGTTTATTCCGCTGTTTTCCGGATAGAAGATCAATTAGGATCAATTAATGGGCTACACAATGGTATAGGTTTCGGTAATTGATCCTCAAATCGTTCCGCCAGCTTCAAAATTTCACACTTTCCTTATTTTGCTTATAACTCATTAACCATTGATTCCGCTGATGTTTGGTTTGAAGATCAATCAGGATCAATTAGGACTCTAAATATTGGCATAGGTTTTGTTAATTGATCCTCACATCGTTCCGCCAACTTCACAGACCTATTTAACAGCTTGTTCCGTAAAATTATTTTAAAATGCTTCTACAAAAAATTCCCTTATTATTCTAAATTCTTGGGAAACCTTGCTATGACATTAAGAACTACTCCTTTCCAGTTCTCACTTCTCACATCTCAGCCTCTGATGATGGTAACCAGAGGTAGATCCCTCTTGGACCCCTCATCTTTTAATTAGGTATATATGACTTTGTTCAGAATCTCAAATCCATGATTTGGACCTTAACATTTGGTATCTTGATGATGGCACAATTTGTGGTCCTCTATTTAGAGTTACGGCAGCTCTAAATTTTATTACGACCAATTTAAAACATAGGCCTAACCCTAAATATAACTAAGAACAGAAATCTATTTTCAAGATTACAGTACAATAGCCTTATCTGACTAAAAAACAGTTAAACATATCCTAACCCTTTGGTCTCACCACACTTATCTAATTCCTCCTTCTGGAGAATCTATATCCAAAATTTTGACAACATAATTATCTTGGATATAATTCTAAACATTCTACCATCACATTATTGCTTTTACATAATTCGCAAATGCTTAAATTTATTTAAAGAATTTAAGCATTTAAAGCCTTTATTTATAACTTTCGTGGAAATAATTTCTAATCTCAATTTATCACCATTTAATTATAGATTAGCCCAAATACTGGTAAAATAGGTGGCATCGACTTATTATCCCTACATAACCTTATCGCTCTCATCTTTTCTTTCTTTTCACTTATTAAACAATTCGCCAATATCCTATTTATTCTCTCCTAATAATAATTTGCTGTATCTTTGAATTCTATAATATATAATAAACTACTATCATCAATATAATAAAATTGAAAAAAGTCCGTTTTTTATTTAAACAATTTATAATAAATTTTATTCTATGAGAATTATTTTAAAAAATTAAATGCCCTCATCTATTGAGAAATAAGTGTATATATATCAGAGACCTGTAGAAGTACCATTTTCAAAGTCCGGCCTGGATTTAAAAAATATATAGCTAATGGCGATTTAAAATATTTAGTTTTAAAATATACAGCCGCAGCCTGGGTATTTTTTTTTAAAAATTTTTTTGGCCCAGACCGGATATATTTTAAAAAATTAAAATACTACCATGCCGGGCCTGCAGGCCATTGATATATATTTTTTTGCAGTAAATTTAATAAACTCAAGAAAATAACTATTAAAATTCTTTATAAAAATTCAACCAAACTAAAAATTACATTTCTTCCTCAAAGTTAATTTAATACTTGTTTTATCTTTAGCAGGCATGTATTCAGAATAAAAAAGTTCTGAAAGGGAATAAATGAGGAAAAATGAAATGAAATTAAATCTAAAATGAGAAAAAATATAATCTGCAAAAAACAAATATAGAAAATCGTCTAAATAAATAAGTAGGAGAACAATTATATCTCATATATCTTTCAGAAGGATAGGGTGTTTCCAAGAACCGAGTCCTTTCATATTATTTATTTTAAACACATAACATCAAATTAAGTGAAAGAAATTAGGTATGACTATTTTAATTTAAAAACGATTACAATTTATAAAATAAGTGCATATCAAAATAAAATATATTTAAAAAAAAGAAATAATATATTTAAAATATAAAATAATAATGTTTTAAAAGAAACGTGCGCTGGTGCCTCTAAATAATGGAATTGTGGATTGATATATTATCCTACATTTCTCAATTGAAATTTGTTGACGTAGGGAAGAACCTTCCTGGATTAAGCGTATTTTTTTGGCCGAGTGCTTTGAAGAAATCGCAGATTCTGGATCCAAAAGCACATGTCAGAAACAATGGCGATTAAAATTGCATTAGGAGCCTTGCTATATTTATAAATTTTTCTAATTCCCGCTCTAACCAAAGAAGTGGAGCCAAATTCATAGATTTTATACATTTTTTAAGTCTAAAATTCTTCGATGAATTTGTAGAAATAGAAGAAAATTAAGGAAGAAGTTTTATTTAAAATAAAATAAATAACGAAAACAAATTATAATCCTATCATATTTTCTATAGTAAATTCAACAGAACTCCCAACCCCATTTTCATCTAGATATAATTATAAAAGTATTTTACAGATAATCATTTTATTCCATCTTATTTTTCATAGGTTTGTAGATTGACAATGGGATATATGGATGTTTTCTGCCAATTTCATAAAATTCTATCAAAATGGTTCAAAGTTATGCACATTCAAAGTTGGACAAACAAAATAAAAGTTTCCAACATGTAAAAATTATTTTTTATTTCTTTTATTTAGACGATAATAAAATAAAATGTTTTTTTAGAAGATGACTTGAATTTTAAGAAAAGAAAAACATTGGGAGCCAAAAGGTTTTTAAATAAACTCCCTAACAGAAACCGGTCCATCGCAGCCTTGAATAGATTGATTGCAAAAATTGATTCTGTCAGCTTAAAAACAGTATAGTGGTGGTAGAAAACGCACAGCTTGTACTTTGGAAAATGTTGATTCTGTTAAAAGACTCGTATTGAGCCAAGACGACAACCTGACACCCGCAGAATTATTCGTATGCCGAGAAATTGATATTTTGCGACTTCAGTGCAGATTATCCAAAAAGAGCCGCAGCTGAAATGTTTAAAAAAGAAACAACCCTATGATCTAACCGATGCGAATAAGATTGCCCGTCTGGTACTTACCAAATAACTTCTATGAAATACTCAGAGGTGAGTTCATATTATGTGGTCGGATGAAAAGCTGCTCACAATGACTCCACCAGTAAATCTGCAAATTGATAGGGTTTATATTGCAGTTCCAATGAAAAAAAACTAGTTGTAGCCAATCGATTGCCTCTTACTAGTGCAAATTTCTCAAAATGGTCATGATTTCAGTCGGGATATCAAGTCTTGGCTACACAGAGCTCATCTTTATTGAACAAGGGGTCAAGTAATGATGCATACTATCGTGACGTTTTACTCGGTGAGCACTTATTGTCTATTATTAAAGAATACCGGGCAATGAATTTTTCAATGCAGGATATTACCCCAGTTCACCGAGCCAAATAAACTGTGGATTTATTAGGGGAAGCCAGATTTTATTTCACCCACTTTTTGCCCCCCCCCCTTCATCCTGTATTGGAGCTTCCTTCAACAACGTGTTTATCAAATCGCATATGCAACGTTGATCATCTCAAACAAGGACTTGAATGGAATCGTTTTGATCAAGGAATTAATAATCGTGCAATCAATGAATGGCGAGATCAGAGCATGTTTTCGAGCTAATGGCAGACATTTTGAACATTCGCTTTGAAGAACAACATTTGTTAATTCTATATATTGGTGTTTTCATGTTTTTGATGAATTGTAAAATTTAATAAAAATAAATTTTTTAATGTTGAAAAGTTCGAGTATAGTTTGTAAAACCTTTGTTCATAACTTTGGACCCTGTTGATAAAATTTGCCGAAAATATTGATGATTTATCCCTCCTTCAACCTATAAAATTTTAGCAAATTATTTTTAGAATTGACATACTTATTGCCAAAACAAATTTGGGACACAGTGTAATTACTTTTCAAATAAACGATAACACGAAATTATATTATATTGCTAAATCATAGTTTATGTATTTTTTTGATTAATTATATATTATAGTATGTGTGGTTATGCATTATTTTGTTTATTTTAAAACATGCACCCTAATAATAAATTTAAAAAATATACTTTATATGAAGCAAACTTTTTGGATAGTTTATTTTTAAAATAATAGTATTTTTTTTTATAGGTAAACACCATGTTGGATAATATAGATATCGTCATAAAAAATTTTAAAAAAACATCGTAGAAAATAAAACAGAAAAAAAACGAATAAAGTAGTTACAATTTGCATGACCTTTCTACCATCATAAAATGAGAATTTAAGAAAATTCCATGATTGATAACTGAGTATATTAAAAATTGTATTAATATAAATATATTAAAAATTACTTGAATTATTTATATTTATTCAAATATGTATCAGTTAAAATTTATTGTGGTGCTGGTGGATAAGATAATATAATGGATGCATTTAAATAAGTTTAAATAAAGCCCACTTTGTGTGAAGAGGGGGGGGGGCAATTTTAATCTTGATTTTTGAAGGTACAAAATTAGATAATGTTTTCAAATATATAACTTTAGGATAATTAAAATACGAATATTATATAAGTAAACTATACAAGTTTAATTGCAAAATTAGTAGTGTGACCAAATATATGTAAACAAGTAAACTTAAATATAGTTATAGGGATTTCCTCATTCAAATTAAACAAAAAAATTTAGTAATAATGGTGGAGGGTTTAAAAAATATATAATAGTATTGTAAGAAAAATTATCATAAGATTGGGAAATTATGAAGGAATGCAATTTTTGTGTTTTTTAACACTATTATTTTAATTTAGATATTGAATTTTATAGATAGGTTAAGTGTAATAAACAATACATAAAGTTTTATATTAAATATGTTTGTGTTAGAACATACAATTAACCAACCCTTTAAAATTAAGCATAATGAACACTCCTACGCACACCTAATTTATGTGAAAAAATAGTAAATTAGGATATTAAATCATATAATTTAGGATAGGGCTTTCTAATTCCAAAATAATCATTTTTTAAAATGTAGGTGTTATTTTGAGCAGTTCAGTTATCTTATATTATAATAAATACAAATGACTTTTGAAAGATGCATGTTGATAAGGTTAATTTATTATGGGAAGGAAGCCGGGGGGGGGGGGGTATTTAGAAAAGGTTATTTAAAATTATGGATCTCAGTGATGTAACGAAAATTGTTTAAAATAAAGTAATTTTAAATACTTACTATTTAAGAGATATTAGAGACAAAATCAATAGATAACTATTATTTTAATTCTAATAATAGTAATATCCCATAAAAAGAAGCAACGAAAAATGGTAAAAATGTATGACCCTTTTTTTCTATAATCACCGCCAATAATTTTCTAGCAGCAAAAAATGATTAGAATTTTAAGTGACTCACATTTTAAAAATATAGGATAATTTAATTTTTTAAAAAATGAATGGGAGAGTTCGAGATATTCCTCATTTTTAATTTGATAGCATTTTATATTATTATTTTTTGTTTAATTTAAAAGAAGGATATATAAATTTCGTATCTTAAAAAAATTTCAGTTTATTTTTTTAGCAGATTTTAATCTCTAGCATGGATGGGTGGGTTTCTAGTATAATCAATAGCAAATTATCAATATAAGCTTTCAATCTTCGATTTTCTTTCTCTAATTTGATGGTTAGCGATTCTGTGATCTTTCGTTCCATAATCTTAAAAAAATATTTAATATAAAGATTAAACATTTCACGAAATTACGTATTTTCTTCGTCTCAATTTAAATTTTCTCTTTTTCGCTCAATTAAATGTATTTCCTTAATTCTTCTTCCTTTCAAAAAATCTATTTTCTTAAATTCATATCTTATAATATAAAGTATTAACTAATCAGAGAGAATTCGACGGGGAAATATGACATAACTCAGTTTAATTTTCATTATAACCGAATATAATAATGATTTACACTACTAAAACGAGTATATCCAACTCTAGCTGTCATGAAAATCCGTTCTTCCTAGCGTGATTTTATTAAGGTCGCGCCAAGTAGGGTGTATAACGGTTCAGTTCCAATGCCGTTTTAAATTTTAAAACCTAATGGTACCGTTCATGTTATCTTGAAAAAATTTATATCGGTTCGTTCCAATTTTTATAAGTTTTGAATTCATTTTAATTGATTCCTTATAATCTAATAAAAACATTTATAATAAAAACCAGAGTTGTTAACGCGCTACAGCGCGCTATCTTTTTTGGTAGCTATAGCTAATAGCCGCTACTTTTTTTAAATTATTTAATTTTTTAGCGCGCTACTTTTTTTAAAAGTAGCTAAGTAGCGCGCTACTTCGCTACTTTTAAAAAATATAATGAATGTAAGTATAAACATGAAAATTTAAATATAATATCATAATTAATTATAATTTTTATAATTTATTATTTAATTTTGAAATTTAAATATATTTTCAATTTTTAATTTATATTTTCAATCTGTGTTAATAATCTAAAATGGCATCGTCCATGGATATCCAAATCCTTGAAAGTGATTCAGATATGGAAGATTCAATGGAAGAAAATGTACTTAATAGCTCTAATAACGTTTTTCCATTCCCTAAATTTGAAAAAATTTTTAAAATAAATATTAAACAAAATCTGGATTCAAATTCATGTGCTTAAAATGTAAAAAAAATATATCATCAAATCAATCGAGTAGCTATAACCTGAAGAAACACCTAAAGGTAAATTGTTATTTTTACATTATAATATTATTTATTTTATTAGACTGTTCACGCCAATTGCTATAAGGAAATAAAGAAACATATAAAAAAATTTGGTATAGGAGAATCTTCATTCAAAAAGACATACTATCCAAACCAAATTAACTGATAATAAACATGCCAATATTTCATAAAAATTGGTTGATAAAGTTATTGTTGATTTTATTATTGACACAGTTCAGCCAGTGTCTTTGGTTGATAATCCATCATTTCCTCTGATGATTAAAACTTTATCCCCTGGCACAACAGTTTTATGTCGCCAGACACTTATGAATAAAATAGCCGACAACTTCAAAGTGATGAAAGATGCTCTAATAGTAGAGTTATCATATATATCTTATGTATGTACCACGGCAGATAGTTGGACACATAACAGAAGGTAAAAACTTATTTATATTTATAAATTGATCTGATTAAATATTTTTAGAGCTTATTTGGGAATCACAGGCCATTGGTTAGACCCTAGGACTTTAAAAAGAAGATCTGTAGCCTTAGCCCTTAAAAGGATTATAGGATGCCAGACATATGACGTACTTGCAAATAAAATTATTGACATCCACAAGTCTTTTAGGATTCATAATAAAGTTTGCAAGATGGTTACTGATAATGGGTCTAACTACCTGAAGTCATTTAGGTTATATCACAAATTTATTTATAATATTTATTTTAAGTTATGATTTTTATCAGAATGGAATGGTTATTATTTAATCTATAAAATATTTAGTATTTTAATATTTCACATTATTTATAGAATTTTTATTAACTAAATACACACATATTTTAGTAATATTATGATTATCATAATTTATATCAAATTATAAATAAGATAGGCTAATGGCGAAGCTGAATAATCTTACTCCAACAAACAGAGATTGCCGAGTATCTACCACGAAGACATCCTCAAATAATTTTTTTGAAATTAAAGATGATTTAATAGAAAATCCAATTGATCTTTTTTTTCAATCAAAAAATATTGAGATAAATATTTTTGATAATTTTTCATATATTAAAAATTTATATATGAAATTTAATACCCCCCTTGCCCTCAAGTGCTAGTGTCGAGAGATTATTTAGTAAAGGAAAGCTTATACTTTCTGATCGTAGCTCTAGACTTGGGGATGATAATATTGAAATGATATTATTATTAAAATGCAACAAATTAAAATAAATATTTATTTATATTGCTTATTTTTTTATAATCTAAACTAACTATATTTTTATATTTATAAATGTTGATTTTTATATATTATTTATTATACATTTACATTATAAGCAAAAAAAAAATAAAAAAAATTTGTTTCATTTGTTTCTAAATTTTTTTTTATAAAAGTAGCTCAAAAGTAGCTAATAGCGCGCTACTTTTTTTGACAAATAGCGAAAGCGGTAGCGCGCTACTTTTTTTGACAAATAGCTATTACGGTAGCGCGCTACTTTTAAAAATAGCGTTTAACAACTCTGATAAAAACTAAACAAAAATTATAGAAAATAAGTTGAATTTATTTATTTTATTATAAAGTATGAATAAGAAAATAATAAATTAAGTAACATAACTGCGTCTAAATATGAACTACCTATTTCCTAAATATTTTAAATTATGGTATCATTAATAAATGAATATAATTTATAACACGTTATGAACCGGCTTAAATAGATTCGAAACTATTTTTAACAATTCGGTTCTCTCCTTTAAAATTTTGGTAACTCACTGAATCACGGGGAAATTTTTAACATTATTTTTTTTTATTTATTTTATTTATTTATTTTTTAAATTTAACAAAATTTTTTTTTGTTTGGTCTGGTAGAATGAAGTCATATTTTAATTTTAACAATTTAGCTATAAATTGTCTAATTTGGTATTTTAATAATTTGAGCGATACAATTTTATAAAATTATAATAACTGAAAACAATATTATATTTAAGAGTATCAATTAAATTATATTTAATTTTATGGGTCATTCAATTTCAATTTTAAACCTAACGATGCCCAAATTAAACAAGTGCTTACTTTTAAATCTAAAAATAACTTTCTTTTTTGAAATATTAACCTTTTTCCACAAATTTTTTTAAATTTTTAAATATACTCTGTTTTATTGTAAAATTAATGAATTGTGATAAAAATTTCCACCAAAATGCAGATGATCATTTATTTATTATATAAATATTTAAAAAATAAATAAATAATAATATCAAAAATTTCCCCGTGATTCCCTGAGTAACCTGAATTTTTATTATAACGGTTCATAGACGGTTAGGAAAATTATAACTTGATAGTTCGGTTTAATTCGACACCCTGCGCCATCAAGGGTAAAACTGCATAAATTTAAAATTTTAATTAAAAGATGAGTGCAATTATTTTTTTTTGAATTATCAAATACGCGATAATTTAATTATTTTTAAAATTATTGCATTTGATTTATAGTCTGTCCTTTCCAAAAATTTAAATTTTTTAATAATATTTTCGCATATTATTTATTTTTGTTTATCATAAAATAAACATTATAAAATATATATACATAAATTTTATATATATTTAAACATAATTGAATTGGAACCGTGAGATGCTGGGGGGATAGTTAATACCTTATTTAATCTTTTTAAACCCACAGGAGTTTATACAGTTTTTTACAATAAAATTGAGACGATGGTGCCAGTATTATAACTATAAAAAAATCTGGAGTGGCAACGCGTATTTATATACTATATCCAACTATTGTATCTCGGCATTGTTTTATCACTGTCAAGGATTCGTGGTATCCGATTCTATAAAAGGTGTTACTTGTCTTAATCATTTTGTTAACACAATTTAGTTTATATAGCCAATCCAATACAATCAAAAGGCTTTGAATTATTTGCTGAAGATAGGAAAATTACTTATAAGATAGGTGTCTAGCAGTATTCGTAAAAACACTTTGGAATAATTATGTTTGTCTTTATACGCATTTCAAAAATTTTAATGAATCTAACAGTTAAAAATCTAACCGGTTGTCAACCCAATTAGAAAGCTAATGATTTTTATTAGATCTCGCCTTGATATATATTCTTTGAATTATCCTATCTTTAATGCTTGAGACAAGAACAATCAGTTTTCTTTATGCTGAAAAATCAATAAAACGAATGATTCGTGTTTTACAATCGTTTAAGTATAAGCCCGGTAAATTTTAAACCTGTTATGTTTATTTTACATTTAAAAGATTAGCATATGAAATTAGCCTAAGACGCTAGTTAAATATATTAATTTGAATTAATAATATTGAAGAAAAAAAGAAGATACTTTGACATTAAAGGAAATCAATAAATTACTGCTTCAATGGACAATATAAGAATAGGTTAATGGAAGATAATTCTGACAATTTTAACAAAGGAAATATCATATTAAATTATTCAATCTTATTTATTTAACTATCTTATCTAATATGGAATATTTAGAAAAAGATAATTAACCGCCAGACACTTAAATTCGTTATGAGAAGGAGCAATTAAACGACTTTACTTCAGACTAAAGCTCAATGTGAAACTAGCATTGTATAAGATGAGGGATATTAATGATAATAACGAGAGCAATAAATGTCCCCGCGATTTGAAGAAGTTCTAACATTTTATAAACACAATTCCGCGTGGTACTGCCAATTGTGAGTGCGATTCTGACCTTAGAGTGTTATTATGACGGATTTGTGGTCTTGTGTTATAACATATTTCCAGTTTAATCGTAATAAACGTTAAAGAGTTTCCTCTTAATAATTGAAATTATTCTCCATACATTAAAAAATAGCTGATAAGTGATAGGACTGTTAACAATAATTAATCACAGAAAAGTTAGGTTAAGGTTGTTAAAAATCAGAGACCTGATATTTTAATTTTATAAATATACCCGGGCGGGGTCTGATTTTTTTTTAAAAAAAAATACCAAGGCTGGGCCTGAAAATTTAAAAAATCCTGGCTGGATCTAAAAATATAAAACCCAGGACCGGCTGGGCCGAAAATAATTTTTGAAAAAAAATCCGGGCTGGGCTGAAAATTTTTTTTAAAAAAAACTGGGCCGGGCCAAAAAAAATTTTAAATATCAGGGCCCTGCAAATGGTACCTCTACAGGTCTCTGTTAAGAATGTTGAATAACTTTTATATATATTATATTTGCATTATATTAACTATCTTTGATATTTTAATTATTTTATATAAATAATGTATTTTTTATGAAAGTTTCGATAAAAAACTTTAAATATAAAAAAAAATCGTTTCTATTTTCCATTTTAGTAATAAGATGCCCCGACATATATCTTAGGTTATACATGATAAAAATATTTAAGTAATGTGTTATTTTTATTTTACATCATTTGTCTCCATATCCATCGAAATATTATTTTTTAGGGAATTTTTTAATTCACTCTCCAGATTAGCATAATGCATTTCATTGCTTTGGCCATTAGTGTTCTCCAGGAAAGTGGGGTCAAAATTACCGTTCTTGAAACTCAAAATATCGTTTATGTCGTGATGGTTATTATTATTTTTGTCCATTATATTGAGCATTATCTCTTGTTTTTGAGTTTTCACTTTCTCTTTTTCCTTTTTTTAAAAATTTAAATAAAGGAGACATTAACGAAAAACCTAAGGGTTGCGAATGAAACTCTTCAGGAAATACTAGTAGAAGAATTATATAATTAAATAAAACGATGTTTTATATAAAATTTGATCATGTTCTAACGTTTTTAATCAATAGATGAATGTAATAGCTTTATGCCATCAGAAAATAGGTATTTCGTCCCTATATTTTTAATTAAAAATAGTGGTCTATCCAAAAATTTTTTATTTATTTTTAAAGCCTGAGCATGGCCCAATTATTTTAATTTTTCGAAAAAATTATATTTTATACATTTTTGATTTTGGAAACTATCTCCTTCAATTGAAGCATAATGAGTTCTGGAGATTTGTTTTCTTCTTCGTCTTTATCGTTCGCGAGAAATCCATTGTAAATATTTTTAGCGCATTCACTATTCTTAGAATTACCAGAAATTTCATCGAAACTAGATTCAAAGCCGAGAATGTTTGTTAACTCCCGTTTTAGGTGTAAAAGCGATTGAGTACTATCTTGCATATACTTTTTTGAAATAAAAAAAATTTTTAATTAAATTTTGCCTAAACCAAAAAGTTATCGATAACTATAAAAAAAAATTTAAAATTTAAAAAAATTCAACTTAATAAACAAATTTTCTTAATAGCTAAAAAATAATAAATAGTAAATTGTAATATTTTTGTGTCAACTAGGTTTATCCATGCCTAAAGATCCTGTTAAACAATTCAAAACTCCATTGTCTACTCAACCTGAGAAACTTATTTCATGATCTAGAACTATATAAACATTAATTGTAATATAAAATATTGATTATCCTTACCAACTCTTTAAATTTCAGATAATTTTGTAAGATACTATACGAATTATTAACCTGAAACACTATTGCCTGATACTACATTCCTATAAACTTCTACTGTAGAGAAATACTACATATACATCATATTTAAAATATATTTTTATATAAATATTTTCCTCCCAAAAATTCTTCATTATTTTTTTGTCTCAAAATATCTGGAAAATTTTGTTTATAAAATACTAGCCTAAGTATCCAACACACTTTATGTGCATGGCATAGTTAATAATCGTTGCCCAAATATAAAGATAGATAAGCATTATATTGACAGAGTTATCTTCCATACCCAGGGATTCGAACCGAACCCGATAAAGAAAACCGGGGTTTTTGGGAAAAAAATCTGGACCCGAACCGAACCTGAACCCCTTTTAAAAATTTTCAAAGCCCCGAAGCAAACCCGGGAATTTTATTTGAACCCGGGTTCAACCGGGTTCAGTGTATTTTTTAAAATCATATAAGATATTTGTATAATTGTAAATAAAAATATAATAATTTTTGAGATTTTATAATATTTTCAGATTTCATTTAAATGAAGTGTTAATAAATTTTAAACAACTTAATTCATTTACTCCATTTTTAAATTTTTTAAAATTTATTCTCAAAGATTCCTATTGGAGTGTTAATAAATTTTAAACATAAATTCATTTATGCCATTTATTTTAAATTTTTAACTTATTCTCAAAGATTATTAATTAGAGAAAAATGAAAGTGAACAAGTCATAGTAAAAATTATTATATTGGATAATTGTTAATTTAAAGAAATACGTCCAAATAAAATTTATAAAATTGATACATGACTATGCCTTGTATTTTTAGCTATATTTTGCCTATAAATTAAAAAATTTATTTTTTATACTAAATTTATGTCTAGTTTTTCAATTATGATTTAAATATAGAATTTTTTTATAAATTAAAAAATTATTAAACCCGGAACCAAACCCGGGTTCAAAAATATTTCCCTGAACCGAACCCACCTATTTTTTTATAACCTTAAACCGAACCCGAATCGAACTATCAAAAATTTTACCGGATTCGCATCTATCCTTAAATTACGATCAAACTTCCCATTCCTCTCCCAAATGATGGGATTTTCAAAGCAAAAAAACCACCTACTCTTGACCATATCCTCAAAAGGTCTAGAAACATGGTGCTAGATTTTATAAATAAGCTTATGGCAAATGTCAATGATAATTTTTGTTATTTAAATGTCCTGTGAATCTTTAATAATTTTCCTTTTCCAATTAATAAAACCTAACGACAAACATAATTCCATTTACAACTTTATAAAAAATTGTTTAGCTATAATAATATATTCTACTGATCTTGATCTCAAATTTAAAATAATCAGCAGCAAAATTGACCATGGTAATATTTCCTTATACACGCTACTTCATCAATAATAATTCCTTTTATGAACAACTTTTATTCATTCCGATTGGACCAAATAAAGCCATTGGGGATTTTAAATTTTTCAATAAAACTCATCTGGCGATTCCCATCATATCTCTTGTCATTTTAAACCCCAATTTTCCTCTCTTTTTTTAACAAATCTGCAGAACTCTTTAAACCATGTAGTAAATAAATAAAAAAACTAATTTCAACGATAATTTTAAAAAATTATATTATAAAAGATAAAATAAATATAATAATTTATCATTTTATGTTAATTTATAAAATTGTAATATTTAACATATAAAATTATAATATATTAGATTTTTTAAAATAAATATAAGAGCCTCTAGATTTTCAGGCAAAGGATCAGAATATTTACAAATATTAGTTATTAAGAATGGCTGACTCTCAGGGCTCTTTTTTTTTAAATTTGATTTGTTTTTTCTAATATTTCTCGTTTTTTTTATACTAGCTTTTCGAATTCCGTTTGATGGAATAGCTTTAAATGTTTCCGATTATTTGTTGTATTAAATAAATTTTTCATTGTTCCTCCCTGTGAAATTAGAATTCCGCAGATAACGCATTTTGCAAAATTCTTTATCAAAATATTTCCATAATTCAGAAGCCATATTTAAAATAATTCTTTTATTTAAAGTATAAATAATAAAATTGGTATATTATTTTTTAATAAAATTTAAAAAAAATAAAACTTTAAGTGTTCCTTTCTATTTTTACTAGCTAATAACCCGTTAAGAATGACGGGGTTGAGGGGTAATTAGTTAGTTTGTGCATATGGTACTAAATATGCTTTATAATAAAATTTAGGAGAAAAAGAGGTAAAATTATTGCAATATAACCCGTGAGCATTAAGGGTATTAGAAATATTAAAATTTAAATTTGTGATAGGGATCACATTGGGTAAGATGTTTCAAAATTTTTGAATTTTAAATATGGGCTATACATTGGCCTCAAAATTTTGTTTTGCAGACACAGCTAGGCCTGATCAAAAAACCACGTCCCATGCAACTTTCCCAAAATTTTGCCATTTATTTCTATTGTAATTTAATAATAATGTCTTAAATTTAATTTTATATTTATAATAAAATTTAAATTTGTGATAGAAATCATATTGAATAAAATTTAAAATAGAGATACTTGGAAATTTTTTTAATTTTAAATTAAGACATTAGCCTGAAATTTGTTTTTGCAAACATAGCCAGACCCAGTGACCCCTACACTTTTTGAGGGATAGAAGCAGAATACCCCCTAAAGTACCCCCCCCCCCACCCCCCCCCCCTTCTTATTGTAAATTATTTTTTGACACCTATAAATTTCAAAAATAATTTTTATTGCATCAATATTTATTATAATATAAATATAATGTAAAAAATATATGCTTTAAAAATATTATTTTTAAATTAATAATTTAGATAAATTAGGGGAAGAGAAAGCAAAAGAATTTATAATTTCATCAATATTTAATTGTTTAAATAAATTATTTTCCATTGATAAAATGGTTAAATCAATTAAGAAATGGATCTTTCATGACACTACGAAGTCTTGTTTTAATTTTACTCATGACCCTTTCGGCAGTACATGATGTAGTAGGAATAGTTAATAAATATTTATATAAAATTGTTAAATTTGGGAAAGCAGAAAAATTTATAAGCAGACGATAAGGTAAAATAAATGAATAGTTTCTCCAGTCTGAATCATTCATCTCAGAATTATTATCATCATCAGAAGAAGCTAAATAATGTATTTGTAAAAATATTTTAATTAAATAAATTTACAATTCTCAGAATCTGACAAATCTTCTTTAATCTCTAGGTCTCGAGTAATAATTACGTCCCCCGTTTTAGCCATTTTATAAATATTTCTAAACATCAACATTTCCTCAAAAACTTGACTTGTATTTAATTGATAAAATTCACAGATATCCTTGATATCATCTTTAACAATTGCCTTTTCCGCCATTCCCTCTGGAGTAAAAAATTATGTTTGACTCAAAAATTTTATCGATTCATCGTTAAATCTTTCACTAAACTGCAAAATAATTAAATCAAGTGCAGCATAAAACACACTGATTTTAAAGCTAAAATAAAATATTATATTTAATGATGAAAGTATATATATATATACCTCTCCTTTTTGGATTGTAATGTTTGAAGTCTTGAACTTTCAAAATCAAAAGGTAAATTTCTCTTCTTCATAAAATCTTGGGCCTTTGAAAAGACATCCAAAAATTCAGTGTTATTATCAATTTTAGGATTATAAAATAATAAAAGATAATAATTTAAATTATACTTCTCATATTAATCAGGCAATCTTTTGCCAATTGAATTTGATTTATTGCAAACCCTATATCCTTCGAAATGGTTTGCAATTTTGTACAAGCCAAGCTTGTTATCAACAATATTTTATCCAAAACACATAGTGATAAAATAAAATCAAATTTTTCTATTCTATAGACTAGAGCACTAGCCATAGTGGAAGTGGCAGGATCTTCAGAATCCTTTAAATTTGCCAAAGCTGCCCTCAAAGCATCATAAAGTAGGAAAAAATTTACAATGGCCTTATATGATGTTAGCCAGCTTCTATAAATATAAAATAAACATTATATATCGAAACAATTAAGATAATATTACCGAGTGGTATTCTTGATGCGTAAAAATCTATGTGATTTTGTCAGTAAATCACTCTGACATGTTTTGAGCACTTTATATCTTTTAACACCATTAAAATATACGTAAATTTCGTCTAATATTCCCAAGACATTTCGCAGCTCTTTTGCTGATTGGCATAATTGAACAACTATTAAATTTAATCGATATAGCACCAAATAGCTGCCTTTGGCGCCTCCGCTCTAATCAAAGCCTGCACTCCATTAATTCTTCCACTCATGTTTGAGGTGCCATCATAGCTTTGCCCCACTAGGAATTCGAGGGGTAGATTCATGGAGCCAAGCTTGGATATTATATTCTTTTTAATATCGAGGCCCGTTGTATTTCCCGTACAATAAATGTCTAATCAGCCTTTCAACGGGCTTAGGTGTCTCGCTATTTTCAACATATCTCACTATCAAAGCTATTGCTTCTGATTTCGATACATCATATGTGCCATCATCTATAATTGAATAGCACCTGTTGAATTCAATCTCCTTTTGAATTTTTTTTATAACCATATTTTTCATGGTTTCAATAAGAATATTTATGTTATTATATGATAACAGATTTTAATATAATTTAGATTTTAATCCCTTAATTTTTTTCTCACTTCTTCTTTCTTCATTATCTTGTATATACATTTTAAGAACAGGCTAGAATCTGCAATAAGTTTAATAAGGCTCATCATATTGCCATCTTAATTTTTAATCAAGCATTTATATTTTTTTTGGTAAATATTTTTGGGCATATTTTGACAATGATCTAGAAATTATAAATGATTATATATAAGATTAAATATTTAAATTTTTACTATTCCCTTTGATAAAATTTTAATTTTGCGCCAAATCTTGAAAGTGGAAAAATAATTTTATGATAAGAAATATCGGATAACAAACTAATTTGCTAAACATCGACCATAAAAATTTTTAAAAAAATAAATAAAAAAATTTAAAAAAAAAAAAGTACCCCCATAGAAATTTATAGAAGCAGTTGCTTCGGACCCCCCCCCGTTGTAGGGGTCACTGGCCAGACCTGATCAAAAAACCAAGTCCCATGCAACTTTCATAAAATTTTGCCATTTATTTCTATTATAATTTAATAACAATGTCTTAAATTTTATATTCCATTTATTTCTATTGTAATTTAATAACAATATCTTAAATTTAATTTTATATTTAAAAGCAATCATATTAGGCTGCCAACCTAGATCTCCATGAGGAAATAGTACAGGGTAAACCATTGGGTCTAAATTAGGGCTTAATATGTTAAGAATTACTAAATTATTCCCATTGGATCTAGGATACACTTTTATATCTCACTTAAAGGGAGGTTCCCCATCATCATTTGTAAAAATCATTGCTACGTCATCAATTGTAGGAAAATTATACCGCCTACGGTCGCTAGAACGATCTCCGCGAAATATCATATTAATCTTTGGCAGTAATATATTTGAATGTTCTGCAAGGGATAACTCAGCTTTCTCAACTTCCCCTAAGGTTTTGAAACTTAAAGCTTAGGGATTAATTTGGCGTATAAGCTCATCTAAATGTCTCATGATATTTATATCACAATCAGAATTGGCAGGGTGCTGAAGACGTCCTGCAATGGCCTGAGATGTATCCAACACATATAACTGAGCAAATTTAGGTAGAATATCAGTCTGGGGATATAAATGCAATGTGCGATGATAAATTTGCCCATGAACTTTAAAACAATAAGGTCCATTACCTGATAATTCTGAAATCTGTGCTCCCATACTGGCGAAGGCGATCGCACTATTATAAGATCTAATATAATGCATTAAATTATTTGGGCAAGGGATCTAAGGAGTTAGATAAGAGATTTTTTAAATAATCAGGATATGGCGATTGAGTAATTTTGACTTTACCTTTATGACAACAATGAGTAAATCTACCATCTGAAGGTCTTTCAGCTAAAAAAATTTAAAGATTGACAAAATTGGCATAATATATTCATAAGGCCACAGTTATGTTGCTCCACTAATGGATTAATCTTAGGGAAAATTAGGTAAAATGTTTTGAATTTTTTTTTTAAATCTTCTAGAGCAAACGAGAATCATATCAGATTTATCCTATAATATTATAGTATTATAGAATAGGTATTAATTGTTTTTTCTAAAAAATAAAATTATTTTTTTGAAATGAGATTAGTTGGAGGTAAATGAGTAATTAAATTATTTTGTTTGAATATAATTATAGATGTATTTATATTATTTAATTTGATCCTTATTCTCCATTGTTATTCTTATCTATATAAAAATAATATAGCTAACTTAAAAAAATATATATAAATAACATTGTAAATTAAAATTATAGGATAAAATAAATGGAAAAATTTTAAAAATATTTATCAATAAATGCCCTAATTTTAAAAATAATTTTCAAAATTATTAACAATAAATGCCCAAAAAATAAAAAATATAGACAAAACTTTAAAAATATCAGCTAATATATAAACCTGAAAACAGCAAAATGTTTACCACAAGTTGAATATTTTCTTATAACTCCAATATGTGCAAAATTTTACCTACAGGTCTCTGTATTAATTGGCTTTACCAACTAAGTTTGTAAATATATTACAATAAAATAATTTAACAGCAAAATGTTTACCACAATTTGAATATTTTCTTATAATTCCAATATGTGCAAAATTTTACCTACAGGTCTCTGTAATAAATGTCTTTGCTTTACAAACTATATTAGTAAGTAGATTACAATAAAATAATTGGACAGTAAATTATTACTTACCATAATTTAAAAATTTTCTTATCCAATAATAAATGAAAATTAACGGCAAAATTTAAAAAATAAAAAATTATTGTTAATTTAAATTAAATATATATGAAGAATTATTGTAAAATAAAAAGTTGAGGGGGGTAGCATTGAAAGACGTTTGCCTTCCAATCGTGAAGTCGCCAGTTCGAATCCCGAGGATGGCAAAAAAAAATTAACATTACACTATATAGTCTCCTTAAATTTTAAATACATTACGGAGATACGAAAAGTATCATCATGTGATTATGGAGATTATATATATTAGATAAAAAAACTTTTAAAATCTATTTTAAAAAATAAATAACATTTGCATTGTTTAAAAAAAAATTATTTAGAAAATATTATTAATGTAAAATAGAAACTCACTGAAACTCGGAAAAATTTATTATTTTTTTAAATTTTTTTTATTTATTTTTTTAGATATTTTTTTAAAAAATTATTATTAATAAAATAATAAATATGATGTAATAATAATTCATTTCATTACTCAAAAGTTTTAAGAATTGCATTTTTAGTAAAAAGATCGGATCGGGTTTTTTACAGGTATCGGCCCGATCCGATATTTTTGGAAAACGCTAATTATCGGTACCGATCTTACCCGATATTTAATATCGGCACAGCTCTACTAGAGATGTATCATATCTAATTTTTTTTTATCTTTACCAAATCGGTTCAGTTTTTTAAATTATTTACCTAGCCGGTTCCAATACAGAATTAACTAATGCAGACAAGGCCTACGCTACTCCAATATATAGATAATTAATACATAATCAATTTCAGAGCCCAAAAATATATCGGTAGATGATGGTATTAGGCCTAATAGTCGAATAACTACCCAATGATCAAGTAGCAAAAATCTTGTATGTGACTTTGCCTGAGCATCTACTTCCCCTTAACAGTTAATTCTATAATATAAACCGAAAATAAAAAAGGACAAATTTTATTTTTTTTACTTCACTATTTAGAGGGACATGGAACGGAACGTTCCGTGAATAGAACTTTAAGTAAATTTATGGAACAGGAACGTGTATTCTGGAACCTTCCCGAAACGCTCCGGAAATTATATATAATTTCTTATTTATTTCTACAATTAAAAAAAATAATTTTTTTTAATCCATCTAATGGCATAATTTAAGTTCTTTTTATTTTTTAAATCCTTACAAATGATACATCCTGAAATCTTTTTCTCCAGTGAAGATTAAAAACTGTAGAAAAATGGTAGCCTCATTAGAGCCGTTAAAGGAAGCGAGCTTAATGTTCCAAAAAGAGAGCATTTTTCGAGGTGACTTTATAGGTCAATAGACCAAATGTGAAATAAGGCTTCAAAAAATTAATTCCCTATTATCACAAGACTTGATTCCAGCTCTCAACAAAAGGGAATAAATGCTAATGAATTAATTATTTTGTTCTGACTTATATCTAGATCCTAGGTTTAAATCTCTTTTAAACGAAGAGGAAAATAATAGAGCTATAAATCATTTATTGGCGACATGGGAACATATTAAAAATTTTAAGGATGAAGATTTAAATATAGTAAGTAATTCAAATATATTCTGAAGAAGGACAAGAATATGATGAATTAGAAAATGTTTCTAATATCCAAGGATAAAAAAGAAAAACATAGCAAAACTTACAAAAAAGATGATATTCTCTCAACTATAAAATCGAGCGTATCACTAGATAAATCAAAAAATTGCTATACTGGGAATCCAATAAAATAAAAAATTCTTAAATTGGTCCAAATCGTATTAGCAACTCCAAGTAGCCAGGTAAGCGTTGACGTTGTTTTTCGACTCTCAAATTTATACTGACACCACAAAGACCCGATTAATTAAAATGTGTAGATTTACAAAATATATTTCGATATTTTTCTAGGAACGTTCCAAATGGTGGAACGGAACAATTTTTTGACCAGAACTGGAACGGAAAACCGCCCTTGTTCCAGTCCCTGATTTTTATCCTTTCTCAGATATTTTTCTCCCTTATATTTTTATACAATCTTGCCTTGCCAAGAGGATTAACCAAGAACTTATGAAAATAATAATTTACATCTTTTTAAAACAAATTGATATTTTTTTAATCTAATTAACTATGTATCCTTAAACAGTGGCGTTATTGGGGGGACTCAAGTAACCTAATACTTGAAGAGACATCTGTTTTTAGATATGGACATTGGATAGAATTTTATTTTTTTGCTAATGTCACAGTTTTAAAAGCATAAAGTCTGATACATAAAGGATATTTCTTTTCTTTTTTCCATTAATTTTATAGTCAAATATTTTTAATAAAATATAATATAATATTGTTTTTAATCATATTACGTTTTTAATTAATCATTTTTAAAGCATATATAGATAGATTTTTGGGCTGTTAGCCCTATATTTTTATCCTATCTTTAATTCTTTATCCTTTAATTATCTTATGGCAACTTCTATAATATACTATACAATTCGAATGCATACCAAATTTTTCGTGAAGTCTTGCTTTTCTAGCCTAGTTTTAAGTCGATTATATTTTTCTTGGGTTTGATGGCATTTATCTCTTAGGTCTTGATTCGTTTCTTTGCAAACTGTAAATTCTTTAATAGTCTCGTTCATTTCCTACATATTAAAAAATACAATCGTTTTTATTATTCAATTTTTGAATGCCAAAATAATTAGAAATCCTTTTTTTTAAGAAAACTTAAAACTAAAAAACAGAATTTGATAAAGAGATGATACCGATTTGTGGAGTCATTTTATCAAAATCTTTCTCACAGTATTTTTAAAAAAATCAAAATGATTCTAATATGTATTGCAAACCTTTTTGAAGCTTTCAACCATGTTTTGTAATCTCTCGTTAACAATTTCCTGTTCTTGTGTTTGTTTTTCCAGGTGATGCACCCTTATAATTAATCAGCCATTACATTATGTTATATACCTAAATTAGCTCGTCATAGAAATATTTTTTCTACTAGCTCGATTTTAAATTAAAAAATTAATTTATAATAACTTCATTTGAAATTTATTATATGTAGCCACAAAGTGCTTAATTTTTTAAATTAAAATTTAATTTGGTTTAAAAAATGTTATAATCGTCGTATATTCTTATATTAATTTAATTTTTTTCCTACCTTATTTACGTCTTATCTTTCCTTTCTGCATTTCTAGATTTAAAACTCAATTTTTATATTTAAAAAAACCTAAATTTAAGCCTTTGAATTTCTTCAGTTTTTTCCTTTTCGACCTGCGATAAAAATTTTCTGTTTTGTGCTATAACCTCGTTAAGCTTGAGGTCAGCCTTGAATTCGTTCTCCCTTATCAATTCTTCCTGCATTCTTATCCTATAGGAAATCAGTTAAAATTTTATTTATTTGTTAAAAGTATAATACCCATGTTATATTAATAATTGTAAATAAAAAAAGGTAGACATAACCATATTTTAAAATATAATTCGATAGCAAGCATATCACGTAAAAATAAAATATTAATAATAACCATCTTAATATGGCTTGCAAGATATAAATATCATAACCAAAGATTTGTTTTAATTCATGATTGATCGAAATGTCACATAAAATATCAAAGAACACTCAACCCATATACTTGATACCTGAATGAGAGGGGTATTGCTAACCTATTTTTATAATCGAAAAAATTAGAAAATCCCGAATAGCTATAATTAGGGTTCAGACAATTTTTTAATTAATTTTCACCATTAATAGTGGTTAGTTCGTTTAGTGACCTATAAAGCTATGAAAACAAGACACGATCGCATTAAAAATCTAAGGGGGTAGGGGATATTTTGATTTTATCCAAATTTTTGATGTAGTTGCATTCAGGGGGGATTACATTTTTTAAAAAAAGTTTTTTAGTTTTCCCATATTTTAATTTTATATTGTTATTATATTTTCAATCTATTTTTAAAAAATATATGCGGCAAAATCAGAGACATAACAATAGAACACGAATAAATTTTTTCCCCAAAACAATGGCAGTTTTTATATTTTATTTTTTAAATTATCATATTCAAAAGTGTTCTTTTTTTAAAGTTATTACAATTCAAAATTAAAGTTAATGTTAAAAGGTACCAAGTCAACGTTCAATGTGCTAGATTTAGTGTTGTAAACGAACGCGTTGAAAATGAACGCGTTGAAAATGAACGCGTTGAAAATGAACGCGTTCGTGAACAAAGTTCGTTTTTTTGAAAAAAATGATGAACGTCGTTCCTTTTATTTTTGACGAACTTTGAGCGTAAACGCGTTCCTTTTTTATGATGAATGCGTTCGAATTTAACGTTCGTTCAATTTTAAAAATACTTTTTATTTTTATTTATTTGAAAAATTTAATAATTCCGAATTTTTTTAAAAAAAAAGTATTATTTATATTTTTTAACCGGATGTGTATTTCCTTTTCACATTTCAATTCTTTTAACACATAATTTATTAATTTGAATATTATTGTTTATATTTTAATTTAATAGATTATCATAAGCATGGATATTATTATTTAATCCTCATCATCTGATTCTGAAAATCCAAAATCAGATGAATTATCATTGCCATGGCCAAATATGATAAATGTTTTACAGTAACATCCTATATTGAAGTAACTAATTCAATAAGTGTAAAATGTGGCCAAAAAGTATTATATTGTCAAAATCTTCAGGTTCCAATTTAAAACGACATTTGATTGTAATTTTAATTATTTTATTTTATATAATATAATATAACTAAGTAAAATCTTAAATTTGAAGAAATAATGCATTTGGGATATTTTACCCCAACAATAACGATAGTCATTTTAAAATTAAAAAAATTTAGTGGTCACAAATGTGGTCAACCATTGATAGACGCCGTATTAACTGGGATTAATAAAAGGTATTAAACCTATCACTCTCAATTATTACATATATTTTATTTTTTTAAAGATTTGAACATATATATAAAGATCAATATGTTCTTTCTGCAATTATAAATCCAGCATTCAAACTTCAATGGGCATGGATAAAACTTCCACAGAACGAACCTATTAAAAATAAACTTATAGCGTTATTGAAAAAAATGCTTTGAAAACTCTAGAGAACTGTTAATTTCGAGATATCCTTTTTTTTGTCGAGGAAGTAGAGAATGGATTGGAGGAGGATAACTTATCTCAATTTTTTGAAGCAAATAACAAAACAATAAATGTTTTTAATTAATTCTCCATGTTAAAAGAGCTGTTTATCAAGTATAATACCGCAATTTCCTCATCTGCCCCTGTAGAGGGCGTTTTTAGTATAGCTAATACCGTATTAACTGCCAAGTGTTCCTGTCTATCAGATAAATATTTTGAAAACAATTGTTATTAAAAATAAGAAAATTTTTTTATAAATAAATGTATCTTTTTATTCGTTATATTATATTTTATTTATAATTATATTCAGGGACGAGAACCCTCCTTCTAAAAAAAATGGGTTCGGGTTTGGATTTGGGTTCTGTGAAAAATCCCTGAACTCGGTTCGGGTTCAGGGTTCGGAGACGAGAAAAATAATGACTTATTAAAATTAGTTAAAATAACAGAAACATCAAATTTTTAAAAACAATTTATTTTAATTAGCATCACCATAAAATAATTTATCATCATAATTATAATACTAACATACAATTTAAAAAATTACTAAAAATATAACAAAAATAATTACACGAAAAAATGATCAAAAAATATTTTTTTAAAATTAATATATAAATTTTTTAAAATTAAAAAAAAAAGCTTGAACCCTGAACCCTAAATTTTAAGAAAGGGTTTGGGTTCAGCAAAATATTGAAGGTTCGGGTTCTCGTCCCTGATTATATTATCAAAATATAACTATATTATTTTTTAACATGGCTAATATATTGTATTAAAAAATATAAGTTTATTTATATTAAATTAAATTTAAAAAATAATTTATCATAAAATTTTGAACGGTTCATGAACGTGAACGCGTTCCTTTTTTTTGAAAGTGAACTTGAAAGTAAACGCGTTCGATTTTTGTCAATGAATGTTGAACACGTTCGATTTTTTTAGAAATATTTACAGCACCATAAAGATTACATTTTATTTAAATGCAATACCCATTTTTATTAAATATTAACAGGTGGAAAAATTCTCCCGTCTCCGATCTACTATATATCATACTACAATCACACAACGTTACTCAAAAAATACCAATATTTGTATACTTTATAACCATATGTGGCAGAGATGATCCAAATAAAAAAAATATAAGTTAAAAATTTGATATTAACTAATAAAGGATGATATGGTATTACATGTATGTGTTCAGTCGTTATTAATATATCTATATATTACTAAACAGTGAGCCTATATTAAATCAATAATAAAACATACTATTATAATGAAAAGATATAAATAATAACAATTCTACATATAATTAAATACAATACATATCTCAATTTTTTGAAGTTCTTGTTCTATATTCATTATTGGTCGTTTCATTTTTCGTTGTAATTTCGTTTCGTTGTATTCGTTTTAAATTATATTCAATCAATAACTCGAATAAGCTGAGTCCCTGTCTAACCCATTATTGTATGGGTAATGATTCACAGCATTAAACATTATAGACTTTTTATGTTTTTATTATATTATTAAATAACGTCATAGATTATCCTTATATACAAAAAAATTCACGTTGATTAAAGAATTATTTTATTATTTTGACGTTTGAATAAAGGAGAAACTAGGTTTTTTAAAACTTATGTGGTTTTGTGAACCGAGGTATGATAGAGAGCAAATAGGAGCAAGCGCATGATTCCGTTAATATATAATATATATCATGCTTTGTAAACAAAAATAAGCAAGGAAGATAAAATTTTAGGTGTAGTGTATAATATTAATGATATAGTTGATAATTTTTATTAGCATTATACAATTTGGAGAAAATCATATAAAAACGACTGGGGAGAATTGTTATAATTGAAAATAATCCATTTGGGTTTAAACCTGGTAATCAAAGAATAAACCCAAAATTGTGTCAATTATAAATATCAATATGGATGGAATTAGCGGATATGAGACCACTACCCCTTATATTTAATGCGTGATGCATATAAATATATTAAAATGACTACTAGTAAAGAAGTTTCAAGCGCCTCTAGCTCTACAACAAATAACAACAAAGATGATCTACATGAATCTTTAATTAAAATGAACCCTAATATTAGGAACTGAAGAGTACATAGAAGAACTAAGAGCGCGAAAAGATATATGTCCTCTCAATTGGTGGAAGGAAAATAAATTTTGATTTCCTAATTTCTAGAACATTGCACGTCATTATCTAAGCATTTCTCTACATCATCCACAATCAAAGGAACATTTTAAAGGACGGCATTTATAACTGATCAAAGATGATCCCTCGAACAAAAAAATATCCAGGCATGTCTATGCCCTACACAATTTAGGATTAATACTCCAGATTATAATATTTTATTTGGGGTGGGGGGAGTGGGGGGGGACTATAACCTAAATATACTTATAAAATTCGTAACCTAATAAAATTATAAAAAATGTCCAAAATCTTCTATTAAAAAATTTCGAATAATTCTTACCAAATTATTTGTATACTTCCCATTTTGATATAACTGCCCATTTCTTATTATAATTTGAAAAATATAAATTAATAATTCTTAGGGGGAGATCGGGGATAGTTATGCCTGGGCAGATAATTTCTTCTATGATTTAAAAAGTAATAAACTTTGAGATTTTAAATTTAAAACAAATACATATGTATTTTTTTTAATGGGTCTAAAAATATTTCGCACAAAATTGCACATGAAAATTTTTAAATGCGAATTTAAATTTTAGCATTCAAAAGTAACTTTCAAAATTTCAAATTTTCCCTAATAATTTTTTAGTTGCTCTATCTTAATATCGATGCTAAATTATAAAATAATTTTCATTCAATCATGTATACGAATTTTGACAATAGTAATATTAATTTAATAGCCAAAAAATAATTTTTAAATAAATCTGAGGACCTATAGAGGGTATGGACGTATAACCTTTCATACATTCATTAAATTACTTATAAAATGGTTATGATAAACTATTTTCAGGATTATGCCCTAAACATTTCTATTCTTTATTATTTTATAAATTAAATGAATTTTGTAATAACAAAATAAAAAAATTTTTTATAAGACTTCATTATAAATTAATATTAAATTCTTTTATAATAGAAATAGATTCACAAAAATAGATCAGATTTAATTATATATGATAATTATATATATTTATACATGATATTGGAATTTATTTATTAATTTTAGAATAATATTGTAATATTTTAAATGATGTACATTGATTTAGCATTAAATTGTTACCTTAGCCTAGCTTTCAGCCTGTAATATTTAATTAAGTTTCTAACTTAAACTTGATGTTGCAATTTATTAATTAATTTTAAAATGATGTACATTGATTTAGTATTAAATTATAGGTATTAGATTTAAATATTTTAAAATGTTGTTGCAATATATTAATTTCAAAATGATGTACATTGATTTAGCACAAAATTATTAAAAATGATATATATTTAAATAATTTAGAAATTAGATTCTTATGAGATAAACTCAATATTTATAATTTAATACATTATGTTTATATCTAGGTTATAATCTTAGCATTTATGGCTAAGAAGCATTTAAAAACACCTAAATCTTGGGAGATAACTGAAGCAGCTGGTGAAGGCTGGTTTGATGCATTTATTTAAAAAAATTCCAAATATCATCGAGAACACCAGAGGCTGCAATAGGGCCACCAATTTGAAATGGCTAACTTATTTTTTTTTAATTATTTGACAGTTTTAAGTGATAACAAGTTTTTGACAAGTAATATTTATAACAAGGATAAAATGGTATATTTAATATCTATTTGACAATAAATTTACAATATTTTGTATAGGATTAAGAACAGTGTACATTATTACTCTATTTTTATTGTTTTTATCTAAAAAAATGAAAAAAATATATATAAAATGATAGGCTAAAACGTCCCCCCGTGTATTTTTCATACCTCAAAATAAGATTTTTTTCTTAGATATTAACTTTTATCATATATAAATATATATATATAAAATAAAACGTTAAAATTATCTTGATAAGTTACTTCTTCGCTTTTTATAGCCCCTTAATTTATTATAGACAATATAACCCCAGTCTCCCTAATTTTTTTCCAAAAAATTTAGCAACTTTATAAACCACACTTTAAGCTAAAATTTATTAAATTTTTATAATTTCTCTAAATTTAATAAATTAAAAAACTTTCGTAAATTCGAAAAAATAATTTAGGCCACTATTTTATTTTTACATTGAAAATAGCGTATTTCTCTTTCTTCGTTAAAGTTTCGAAAGTTTATTAATTATATTTATAATATTTAGGTGTGAAATTAAGTTAGTTCTGTAAACTATATATTTAGTAATTAAATTATTATTTCGAGATTATAAAGGTTAATAATACTCTTATTTGTAATTGTAAGAGAAATCATTGGTTTGTTTAATGAAATTCCGAACCCTATCTATAATATTGAACCCTTTTATAACATTATTGTCAAGGTCACTGATATTTATATGTCTTTGAATTGTTATAAAAACGTTTTGGTGGTTTTAAGAAATATGACATCATGGATGACGCACCACCTCTCTCTTTAAAGGTTAGATTTCATTAAATCATGATATGTAATACTTTTCTTTCAATATAGCGTTATCCCTGTTAAGATGTTTGTTGTCCCTTTCGAGTTCCCCATTCTGGTTCTTCTCGAACCTTTCTAAGTGGTCGTTTATGTTCGTGATGATCTGATTGAAAAGTTTAAATAAATAAAAATAATGAAAAATGAAATTAAAAATGGTATTAAATACAATGAAAGGGGATATAATAATACAATTATCTAAATGAAAGCAACACACCGAGAAAGAGTAGCGACTGAAATAATAACAGCAAAAGAAATTGGAGTGGAATTAAAGACATATTTGGGCAATTCAATTTTATGTGAAAGAAGTATTCTAGCAAATTGGAAAGAAACAGTTATTCTGGTATACAATGGAAAAAGTGATCAGATAGATTGTGGCTCGTGCTGAGTGATTAAGCTTCTGAGGGATGAAATGAAAGTTTTCGAGAAAATTTTAGAGAAGAGAATCGGAGATCAAGTGAAAACCTAGGTTATTCAATTTGATTTTACACCTGGGAGGGAACTACGGATGCAATTTTTGTGGGCAATATATTGGGCGAAGGACTTGGAGAAGGCGTTTGACAGGGTCAGACGCAAAGTTATTAAATGGGCTTTGAGAAAATGAGGTGTAAAGACTATTTAGTTTTGGATGGAAGTAATGAGACCAAAGCCTCGAGGAAAATCAATAAAGACGCAAATGAAAGCGATAACGGATGACATAAGAATAATGGGTCTTCCAAATAACAATGTCTAGGGGCGTAAAAAGTAAAAAAAAATGGATAAGAGGGGATACTGGTTTATCTGGGTATGAAAAACCGTCAATAAACGATAAAAAAGATTATCTAAATGAGAAATAGTGGTACTTCAATAAGAAAGTTTTTTATAGGAGAGACAAAAATAAGTTATTTAAATACTATCGTATTTTATAAAATGAATAATCCATGACAAAATTTTTAAAAGCGATTATGAATGACATAATTGGGTCATCGTATTATAAATCCATAAAAACAAGATTCATTTTGTATGGTTATCAAGCATGTTATGAAGAATTATTTTTTTAAAAAAACAACTTTATCAATTTCGGAGGGTTCAGTAAAAATAGGGTCTTTCCAAATTTTGCAAAATAAATCAATATAAAGATCACTCGAAAAATTTAAATGGTAGACCTATATTTGGTATGATTTCGTTAGATAGTCCCTGAAGTCTTTTCTTTAAAAACATCTATACTTTTTACTGTTTTTTTTTCATTTCCAAAAAAGGTAAAAGTGGATTTTTAATATCGGTGACGAGTTACATTTTCTAAAATTTTAACGCATATATTACGCTATAATAATAGCGTAGGATGGTGATTAACTATTTAAAATATATAGTTTTGGCGCTAGGAAGGTCTTCAATAGAATTTAACAGAAATTTTTCAAATCATAGCTTACTAATCTTATATTTTTTTAATCCGGATGTTATTTGTAATAACAAATATTAATTTACATTTATTTTATATGCAAAATTATTTAAATCCTTTTAATACCCTGTTAAATTTAAAACTATTTTTGATAAAATAAAGTATGTTTTTTTTAATTAAACTTTTTTTTAAAAAAATTAGATACTCCATTGCAAAAACTATGCGGGTCTTGTCTTCACTGAAATCATAACATAACCATAACATGTTAATATTTTTTTTACTCATTCAAAAATAATCATTATGATAATTGACATTTTTCTATATTTCAACTTGATTAAAATCATAATATAACATATTTATAATATATTTTCACCAATTTGCTTCAAAGTAGAATAATTATAATTTTCATCACATAAGTTAAATTGCCTTAATTTAATCAGATTTATTTTTAGATAATTATTTTCCGCTTCATATTTTTAAAATCTAAAAAGATAGGGAATTTTTTTTCCAGGGAATTTATTTTCCCGGAGAATTAATTTCAGGTGATCTAATTTTGGGTGGATTATTTTTCGGGAAATTAATTTCATTATTTATAGGGAATCTATACAAGACATCATATAAAATTTTTATTATACGAAAGAAAAACGAAGATTTGAATTCGGATTATCTCGTTTAATTCCCCCGCAAGCGTCATGGCGCAGGATTTCATGACAGGAAAATGTTTAGACAATATGTATATAATCTATGCAGGGATATCAACAGATCTTATTAGAAAATTTTTTTAATTATCCAAAATGTGGTTTCTGCATGGGAAATTCATTTTTCTAGACATGTGATTTACCGAAATCAACCAAAAAAAAATCTATTGGATATTAATACAAAAGGAATAGCTTGCGTTTATTACTCTTTTAATCCAACTGAAAATATATGGATTAGGAAAATGATTTGAGGAAGAGTCAAAGATATTGGATATATAATAATTTTTAAAAAGAAAGATATACTAAATTAAAAACTTCACCAGATTTAGACTAATGAGTGCTTCTAGCTATATATGTTCTTAGTTGAACAAACCAGACATTTGTGGGGAAGGTTAGCCCATCTTATGATTCTAAGTAATTATTGCATTTAGATATGGGTTCTATTAGAAAATGGAATATTATTGGATAGATGAGTTAATGTGGGTTCTTTTTTTTATTTCAAGAATATATCTAAAAAATTATCAATAATGAACAGATTAGGTATTTTCTAAGATTTTTATGGTTTAATTCAATCACAAGATTGATTACGCTGGGTAGTCTTAATATTCTATAGGATTTTTGTTTAATAAACAGATATATAAAATAAGTTCCGATAATCATCTTAGCTATTTAAAGTATAATTATAAAGAAGGCTAAAGCAAATGTCTATAATTTATTATCAAGCTAATCAAAATGGCGAACAGATCAATTAATCCCGTTTTCAAATTTCATATTAAATAAAAGACTCAGTTTATTGCTATAATAATACATGTCATTGGGCTTATTAGTGAGTGATTTTTGGGATGAGGAATAGGTAATCCCTTTTAATATAAGTACAGACATAAGCTTGATTACTGCGAATGCGTTTCAGAGAATATATTAGGCGAAAACTTTCCCACGAATATATTACCGTTTCGGCGAACATATTATCGAGAAAAAAATTAAGGGGAATAAGTATCTTTTTTTATATTACTGACAGAGCAGTCATCAGTATCTGATTGAATGTACAAACAAACGTGTAACCATGGTAAGATATTTATATTTATTAATTGACATAAATCTAACTCAATATTTAATATAATAATAACCCTAATAGGCAATCAAGACATTTGTCCGTACCCAATTTAGGTCATATTACGAATAAAATTTATATATTAAATAGTATCATTAACTAGGAATTCGTTTGCAGTAAAATATTCACAAAAATGCATTAGCGATAATGTCTTGGTTGTATTGTAAATCATTCGCGAAAATGAACTTGTTGGGGGTTTTTTCCAAGATATTTTGAAAATCTAATTAATTTCTTAAAGTTGTCATTGGATATTTTTCTCTCGATCTTGTTCATTTTCTATAAATTTTTAAGAATCTAAGAAAATGGGTATTTTTTTTCAAGAAATTTTATCCGGGGAATTTTTTCAAAGAGGAATTTATTTTCTGGAAAATATTTTTCACTTGATTTACCAAGATTTTAATACCGGGAATTATATTCTTGATAATTTTGCGGGAAAATAAGAAATCTTTCCAATGTTTTTCTCGCGAGAATTATTTTCAGCTTTTACATTGCAATATATATATTTAATTTAAAAAAATATATTACTGTCTTTTTAAATTAAACCTTTTCGGTAATATCCGCCACGTTTTCCTCGTGAATGTAGCTATTCACGCCATTTTCGAGATGGTTTAACGCGTAATTCTCGTTTTCGTTATTATGATTTTTGCAGTAGTAATCGAATGAGGTATCGTCTGATGCTGTTATTAATTTCCTTCTATATACACAAACAACATGCATTTAGAGGGGAAAAAATTAAATAAAGAATCCTGTAATAAACTGAGATGAAAATTTTTTTAAGGTTGTAAACTGCAAGTTTTATGTTATTAAAATACTTAAAGATAATAAAGTTCTCTTCCTTTTTTTCCTTCGTGATATTTAATTCATTGATTAAATATTATATTTTGAAGTGATTCTGATCATACTAATGAAAAATAAAATTTATTTGAAATAAAAATACTCTGCCAAATTTTTCATAAAATTTAACCTAATTTATCAAAAGCCTTTTATAGATAATATATTTAAATAAGTATGATATACATATATGAATCACAAAATTTACCTGAAAAAAGATATTATTTTAAAGAAGTGAAAATGCTTAATTAAATTAATTAATCTAATAAGTTGCATTAAAATAATTTTGTTTTTATAAACTTGGAAATATTGTATTTAAAAAAATATATATAAATAATAAGGAATTGGTATCAAATGAACTTCAAAACCATTATTTCTTTACTTCAAATTTCCTTTAAACTTATATTTAAGTAAATCTTGATTTGAAATATACTAATTTATAAGGTACATAAACTCGTTAATGTTAACCCAAAATAGTAAATCAAAAATACTATTTCCATCATTTTAAAAAAATCTAGTGTATAGTGAACATTTTAACGAAATCTTGTTTATTGCAAAAAATATTTCCATTTTCAGAGTCTATCTTCAAATTATTTTATTTAAAATCTTTTTCTACAAATAATTTTTAAAAAAAAAATGCCTTTGATGGAGTATCAAACATAAGACATAGGTTTTATAGTCATACGCACTAAAAATTATACATTACTTACCTCCATAATTTTTAAACGTCAAAATATTATCTTGAACAATAGCATTAATTAATTTTAAATAACGAACGAAATTTGTTGTTCCCATTACATTGCGTATAATTTAGTATATATGAACCTTTTTAACCCCAAGGTGTCCTTTTCAGAATTAATTATAAAAAAAAATTTAAAAACACAATAAAATTGAAATTGACACGAAGAATATAACAACAGTAATTGGGAAGGTTGTTTCGATCTAGAAAACTCAGATCCAATATTCCGTGAAAAGAATTTTTTTTATAACATATAACTAAACATATATTCTTCAACATCCAACTTATAAAAGCTAATATTTTGTAGAAATAACAGAGTTTGAACCAGACAGGGATAAATCTAGGAACTGGATCACTCTTTAAAAATTTACAAGAACCAAAATCGGAACCTATTTAAAAATCTCCAGAAGTTTGTTCTAACAAAAGAGCAAGAAAGATAAAAAAAAATTGTTAAAATGTTGAATGTTTTTAAAAAAAATTTTTAATTTTGATCACTTTTACAGTTTGGAACCAGAAGTTTTTTTATTCCCCAAAAGTTAATCATCTCATTTAAAATATGAGAAATATATGGCGGAATGTGACTAGTTAAATATTTTTTAATTATTTTCTTGTTGCAAATAATAAATAAAACAAAAAATGGTATAACAATTTTTAACTGCCTCCTTCTTTTAAAATAATTCGATTTTTTTTTAACATTATAAATAAATGATAAATTATGTAAAATAATATAAAATCCTATAAAAATATGTCGTATTGGAATAAAGAATCCGTTGTTATTCGGAATCTCGCAATTCTGAATTATTTACTGAGGGCAATTTTTTAATTTAATCCGAATTGATGGGAAATGTGTTCCAGCATGTATAGAGTAGCCAGCATTGAACTTTTGATCTACTCTTAATTTATAATATTTTTTAAATAGATTCATATAAATTAAAAAATAAGCAAATGTTCATATCAAAATAAACAGATTTTTCAAATTTAAAAATCGTCTTCAATAAATGTTATAAAATTGAGAGATTCTGAATCACCAAAAATTTCATATCTCAATATGACATATACAATCATAAAGTAACCAAAAACAATGATAATATCGGATCAAATCGTTTTATTGAATATCGGTCTGATCCGATATTTAAAATTGGCGCAGCCCTGTTAATTGAATTAAAATTAAGACAAAAGAGGATATTAAAAAAAAGGTTGCAAAGTTAAAAAATGAGTGATATAATTAATGACTATAATATAATTACCTGGGAACAGTAGACGACTTAATGTTAGGGTTCGTATCTCTGAAATATTTTCTCGATTTTATAAATTAAAAAAATGTTAGATAGAATAGATTATTTCTTAAAAATGGTATATTTATTTCTTCCTTTTTCTTTATTCATTCTCTATAAAGTAGATATAAAGTTTTCTTGTATCATTTCAAACTTTAAAAAAATATAAGTTTAAGCTTTGGTATACTTTCAATTTTAATAAATACCAGTTACCAATACCCAAAATAACAATAAATTCTTATAAAAAAAAGAAGTATATATCGGCGACAGAGTTGGGCGCGGGCCTAATTTTTTATTCACGACCCGCTCACAGTGTCAATAAAAAAATTCACGCCCTATCATGCTTACTACTAAAAAAAATTTTACCCGACCCGCCCGCTCACGAAAGACATTAATTTGATCATGCCGGGCATTCCCGAAAATTCATGGTGTTTTTAAAATTTAAAAACTTTATTGCTATCCTTTTGTGCTTTTTTAATTTATCTACTATCATAGTTTTTATTTCTCTTAACACAAAATTAATACAATTTATAAATCAAAATTTTTATTTAGAAAAAGAAGAGAGTCCATGTTTTTTATTTCAATTGTGTTCTCCTTTCTTCTAATATGCAATTGGCTATAGAAAATATCCTTTCACTAGAAGCCGAATTTGCCGGGGATGACAAAATTTTACTTGCTAATTTCTAAAAAAAGAAAATGATTTTTCTGCCTCCAAAATGTTAAAATATTGTCATTGTTATTTGTTTTATGAGAGATGAATCTACTTTCATCTTTAGTTGTTGATGCTTCATCGGAATCATATAGAAATAAATTCTCTAAATGTTTCATTTATAGTATACAATTTTTTATGTGTATAGGATGAATTAGAAAAATTTAAAAAAAATTAAACATATATATTGATAGCAAATTAAGAGTAGGACAAGAATGATAGTTGGCATTGGCTTAGGCATTTCATCCAATTTTATATCATTTAGCATTTTTAAGGTTGTTATATATACATCTTCCTTTTCTTCGTCTATTAAAAACTCAAGACTTTTGAAATTCGGATCTAGAATTAAGCCCATCTTAAGTAATGGCTGAATAATATATTTTTCCTTTATTGAGAAATGTTGTCCTGAAGGGTTTTGATTATGAGAAGGTTGTACTAATTTCTGTTTCCATATATAAACTTCATTTATTGTGGGGTGAGAATCTGTCCTTAGATTACCGAGTATTCTTTGAATATTGGTAAAAATTTAAGTATGTGCATAAGACTCTACAATCATTGTACTAAGTATATTTATTATGATCATTATGTATATCATTCAAAAAATTTCGTATTAAGGTCAGACCCTCAATATATATTCAAACAATTGAAAGGCAATGGCTTAAAAAAGATTATAGAGGCAAATTAATATTTAGATGTAAATATTTTAAAAAACTTGTTAATCAAAATGTAAAGGAAAAATTATTGTTATTTTTATATATTAAATAATTATAATTGAGTATTTTAGATTTGTAGGTAAATATGAGAAAATTTAAACAATAAGTTATTAAGATGTTTAATCTTTCTATATATTTTGACTGATTATAATTGAGTGCAAATAGTTATATATAGTATAAATGAAATAAAACATTTATAACCCTTCAATACCTGGGTGGGGTATATGAGACCCCAGGCTTACTAGAATTGAATAAAAACGGTTTATTATTATGATCTGGAATCTTCAGTAGCTTCAACAAATATATTAGAATCTATATTCCAAATTTCTAAGATATAAAGATTTTGTGACTGATTGGAGTTTGTGAGACCCCACCAGAGTAAATATGTAATTTTTTTGAAGTTTTTTTATAATTATCTCATTTTTCAAATTATTTTTATCATTTATTATGATTTTCACATATTCTAAAAGTAAATATAATAAAATTATTTAAAATGTAATATCATTTTTCAAATATTTGAGTTGAATTTGAAAAAAATAACATTATTATCATATCCAAAGAAAGAAAAAGATGTCATAATGCTATCGACTTTCCACTGTAATAAAAATGTTGATACAAATGATACAAGCAAGCCTGAAATTATAACATTTTATAATATGACCAAAGGTAGGTTAGATATGGTATATTGAATGACAAAAAATAATACAATTTTAAGCAGGTCTTACACACTTCTAAACATAATATCAAATAATTCACATCATATAGCAAACACAAAAATACCCATTACAAGAAGTAATTTCATATATAAAATATCAATTGAACTACATTTAGAAGTACAACAAAAATTATCAGATTGCCCTGACTTTTGAAGGAATCTATATGCAAAATATTAGGCAAAGTTCAAAATATAAATCTTATCCACGCAAGAGGAAGTGCAGTATATGTCCTAGCAGTAAAGATGTGAAAACGAAATATTTTTGTCAAATATGGGGAAAAAAATTATGTTTGTAGCATATTAATACTATATGTGATAAGTCAAAATTAACATATTTCAATGTCCTATATTTTTTTTTAAGTTTGCATATATTAGTGTAAATCTTGTTTTATATTGAAGAATAAATATCAAAATAATGAATTATAATGATGATATAATAGATAAATTATTTTTTTAATTTAATATTTAAAATTTAATAAAAGTAAACTTTTTTAGAAAATTTTGACACAAATTATAATTATCCTCATTATTTTTAATCTAAGCATAATAAATTAAAATAAATAAATATTTTATAAAATTTAAGGTTTGTTCTATCTTGTATCCAAATATTAAACCAAAATATTAAATACAAAACGAGATATTTACATTTGAAAGTGGGGTCTATTAAACCACACCAGAGTACCAACGTCATTTTTTTCAACAGAGTATTGAAGGGTTTAATTAAATTTATTTATTCCCAAATTTCTATTGTTGAACGAGAGTTGAGAGATTTACTATTTTTCATTTTATAAGACGGAAATAAAATGGGGAAGTTTTTTGTTTTCATAAAGAACTAAATTAAATTAGGAAATATATATTATAAATATAAAATTGCAAATTTATATTAATAAAAAAACAATTTCAAAAATTAAAATTTCTGTGATTCGCGGGAAATTTATGTTCACGCCCAATATGCCAGGCAAAAATTTTTGGGAAGGCCCGACAACCTAATAATTTATAATTTATTTACACTCACACCGTGACCCCTTGTGTCACGCGTAATTTCAAGGCCCGCGCCCACCTCTAATCAGTAATATAAATAAAAAGTGGAAATGGTGCGCCTCTGCCTTAAATAAGGTAAAATACTACAAATGGAGTAACTTTTAACAATCCTTAATAACTATGCAATTACGTGTCTATAACTTTGGTCATACAGGCTTGTTGCAGAAACAAAACCAATATCCGATAGCATTAGAAAAAATACATAAATTTTAAAATCACTTAAACGATTGAGAAAAAGAAAAAACTATTTAGATAGAATTAAGTTGGATAAGATTAGACCTGTGCGCCGCCGGTTATTTTTGTCCACGCTGACGCCGCCGCCAAAAATGTGTAGGGGCTCAGCACGCCGTGCCGATGTAAAAATTTGGCGATGTGATTTTTATTAAAAATAATATTTATATATTTATGAAATATAATTAGAAGAAAAATAATATTAAATATTTTTTTAATAATTAACATTTTATTTTTTAAATTAATATTATTTGCTATAAAAACATTTGATTTGTAACTGATATGTTATTAAATTAATAATACAGAAAATGTATTGAAATATTATTATATATTTTATTAAATTAATCCTATTCCTTTGTTAGTCCTAAAAAGATTTATTTTAGATAGGTTTTAAAAAAGTTAGATTTTATAATTTGTATTCTGTAAATAGTCATGAGTTGTAATTTAGAGTTTCAATGATTTCATCTTTAAGAACTTTTGTGTAAGACCATCAATATATAAGGAGTAATACATAACTCCTCATCATAAAAAATATATAATTTATTTTTTATTATAAAAGGAAATTTTAATTAATGATTTTTATTTTATTGCCATTATAACATATATAAACATAGCAGGACTAAAACATTTATAATGAATGCAGCATTACAAAATCTAGTATATCCTTGCAAGCAAGACCTTCTATGGAAACATTTTGGATCTTAAAAACTGGCACAAATAATAAGAGAACCAATGTTGCGGCAGATAAGGCCTTTTGTAACATATGCTTACAAATAACACTTGATAAAGATGATAGCTACCTTTATGTTATCTTACACGTTCGATTTAACTGAATGTGAAACTGATGAAGTTGTTTCAGAATATTTTCTTAAGATTAGATACCTAACATTCATCACAAGAATCTGGAACAAAAACTTTTTAACTAGTCTAAAAAAAGTACTATTCATTATTTTCGCCTTATAATTTAGAGATAAAAGATGTGTTAGATTTTGAAAAATGAGAGCATTGGATATTTTTATACTTTCAATATTAACCAGAAATGCCCTGTAGGTTCAAGCTACACCCAGCGAGCGCAAACTCTAAAAGATCATCATTATGTCCTATATATCTAAATAAAATAATATTTATACATGATAATTATAACTTAATAAAATCGTTAAATTATAGTTAAAATTTAATTTAAAATTTGTATAATATAGCAAAAATTTGCTTTTAAAAGTATTTCTAATAAATTTATAATTTTAATTAAGGTTCAAGTTAGAAAAATATTTGACGCCGCCGCGCCGCTGTCACCGATTTTTGTGGTGAAGTCTAAATCGGTACACCGTCGCCAGCCGATCGTTTTAAGAAAAAGAAACGCCGTCGTCGTTAAGGCTGTCGGCGCTCAGGTCTAGATAAGATACATATTAAAGAAAAATAATAATTTTTGACCATCATATAAATTTTAAGACAAACATGAAATAAAATTAAAAGACATCTATTGTAGCCATATAATATAGCAAACTGGTAACTTGACCATGATCATTTTAGTCATTGGGAAAAAAATTTAAAAATATTATGGAATAATATTTTTTATATTAATAAATTATATATTTATAATACCTTTTCTTCTTATAGCATAAGGAACGGGTTCGTTGAAAATTGGGTATTAAATTGCCTTGGCCCGTAAAATCCCGAAAATGAATATTGTTATCAGACAATTCAGGCGTATATTGGTCAATTGATATTTGAAGAGACGTAGCATTTTTAAGGATTTCAGCATACTTGTTGGAGTGACCAGTCAAGGGGGCTGTCAGCGGACTTATTAGGGCAGAATTATTCTGATGCCTGGGTGGGATAGGTGGAGGTGAGGATAATATGTCGTTATTTAGTTGCACTTTGTCGAATAGATTGTTCGTATCAATATCTAATATAAGGGGATAAAAAAAATATTATTTTTATTATCAATTGCTATTAGAGTTCTACTAATATTGGCAGTTTTAGGAAAAATATATTTATATGAAAGTGGAGTGAAAAACAAAAGTTAACAGAGTAAAGAGGTGCACCATGATGAAAATAAAAGGATCAAGGCCTTAAGGAAGGCCCAGAATGACAAAGATGATAACAGAGAATATGAGGAAAATGGATCTCACAAATAGTGATGCACAGGGCCAGCAAAAAGAAATATAATTAGAGGGGAATCTGGTTTACCCAGGCAAAGCTGGAAATTGTCATTAAATTGAAAAAAGGAGGGTATGAAAGTTAAGGCAAATTTCATGACTACTATTTTAAAATGATAACTATGGCATTCATTTCCTGACGATGACAAAATTTTGAAAATATGAGCAGAAGCTTATGTCATTTTTTAGCTTTAATATTGATACCTACTGCCGATTATCGATAACTGGCTTATATTTAAAAAAATCTGAAATTTTAGTTGAGTTTTTCAGTTGTTCTTGATATGAACAATCTAATCTCAGACTATTCACACTTTTTTTAAATAAAAGTTTTCCACATTTTTATCACTTTCACTATAGCATATAACCTAGCATAGTTCATGGTTGATATAAAGTATAAAATATAACCTTTTATTTTAAATTTTTAAACATTATGTGTATACAATATAATCATATAACTAATTCGATATTATCTAAGACATTATGCAAAAAATCTCAATTTGTGAAGAAACTATAATTTTTTAAAATATGCAAATATTAATTTTAAATATTTATTTATTAATATATATTTTAATTTAGGCAAAATAATTTCATATATTAATTTGTAATTAGCCAAAAATAAATCATAATATATTATTAAGTAAACAAGGTAAGTATTTATAGGATATAAATAATTTAATATTAGCCAACAATTTTAAAATGCAATTTATCTTATATAATGTTATCTTGTCAATGCTAGAATAGTTTAAATAATCTCTCAATTTTAAAAGGTGAGAAAAAAAATAATCTTACCCATTGCTTGTGAAAATGGAATTTATAAAATTTTGATAAGATGCCCTCTCAGCTGACCGTAATTTGTTGACGACAGGTGTTAAATATTTATACATCCGCTAATAAAGTATTTATTAAAATTTCCGTATTATATTTTAAACATTATTGTTAATTTTATATATAAAAATCTCTTTAAAAAAATTATTTATAACATTTTCTCATTCCAAGTCTATTTGTACACATATTCATATATATGTATACATATTTAATACAATTTTATATTATGTTCATTAAAAAAATCATAATTAATCTTATTTTTATATTAAATTATAAGTTAAAATTTTGTTTCAATTAAATTGAAGACAATTAATATTTTACCCAATGACAAGATAGTAATCCTTAATATAATAAATTCTTAAACTATTAATGTTATATTAGGGGTAGGGGTATGGTTAAATAAGAAACAATCGACACAGCCTCAGCAAATGTTTTAAACTTGATTGGATTTGGTTTCAAAAGCAAGAAAATTTAAGAAAATAAAGAATTTATGCAGCGATTAATCGATAAACTTTCAAGGTTTATATATTTTAAAACTAAGTAGATGAATTGTTACATTTTATGCTGTGTGATTTATGCTAAGCCTTGATGTCAGCAAGGGTTAAATGTGCAGTATCATGGGTTTAGATGTTACGTTAATTTAGGCCTATGCAATAAGGATAAGGATTACTGTTCATATTAAGGAGAAATACTTATAATATTAGACACCTAACTCACGACATTTTGTAAAATCTAAAAGAACCAACCTTGTGAACCTCGTAGGTGGTTAGCTTATGGCTATACTACAAAGTTATGTTGGTGTTTATATTAAATGAGAAGAAATGCTCATTTTATTAGACACCAAACCCACTATATTTGGTAAAATCTAAAAGATACTTAATTTGATCTAATAATCCCCAAATGGGTTTCTTTTTAGCCAATCAAATGGTATTTTAAATTTAAGTGCGCGGAAATTATATCAAAAGAAGCATAACGATGAAAGTGATGGTTGTTTGTGATGGTTTACAATCCCATCACCAACCAATATAGGTGTTAGGAATAGAATTAATCAATTCGAAATATATAATATACAAACAAAAGGATCCAAGTTAATATGAATGAATAATTCCAACGCGAATATTAGATTAATAATCTTGATTGATATTAATATCATATATCACACAACACGTTATACATGACACCTTTCCCCTTTATTAAGCTACAAGCTGGCATTAGAGAATGACATGACTTACTAACAAATTTTCTCCCCAAAAAAATATAAGATTCATATAACATCATATTTAATTATAAATCGACTCATATATATTTATATTTTTCCTATAATCAATATATCATATCAAATATACATTACTTCCTCAAGGACTAATAGATTTCCTAAAAAAAATATATCCCTTCTTGATCTCTTTATATTATTACTTTTCACTATTCAATTCCTTGATTTTTGCAATTTCTTATTGTCCATTACATCTTTTGTTCCTCGGATAAGGGTTCTCTTAAGCCCTTTACATGATCTTGCATTGGCATATAGCTTGCTGATAGCACCTTCACCTAGTAGGGTTCCTGGAAGAGGGAGTGCATGCATGGGCACGAGCCCCCTTAAAAATTTGAATAGCCCCTTGAACAAATTTTTTAATGGCCCTCTAATATCCTCCTGAAGGAAGTAAAAAAAATTGATGGCCCCCTGAACAATTTTTTTTTAGAATTCTAAGTATTACATATAGTATTTGTTGAAACAGTTGTTTGTTATTAAATTTTATTTTTATATATCCTTAAGATGTGTTCTATTTTGTGTTATATATTCAAATTTATATTTTTACTTTTTTATAATCTAATTTTTATAACCTTACCTATTATTAATTTTTGTTTTTCGTTTTGATTATATGTATTCTAATTTATATTTTAGATAATATATATAGTGTGTGTACGAATATAAAAAATAATAAAATATATTTTTACTTACTCTCACCATAACCCTTATTCTCTTCATGGTGCTCCGTTGGCAAAAAAAACTCGCCACCACTAAAAAAATTTTTTCTCTTCGAAATGCAAATATGAATAATAAAAAATTATAAAACGAAACAAATATATTCTATAAAAGAAGGAGAAAAAAGGTAAAATAATTTTAAAATTATTTCCATTATGTTAGCTTTCAAACTCGTTAATATTCCTTGGGAAATTTCTGTTAACGATATACTATTTGAATTGACTTACAATTGTGGTGCACTACTCAAGGATACTGGGTAGTGACGACGTTTTATTTGAATTCGTGAACCTAAAGGTTCTGATCAATTGTTTTAAACTACTGAACGGGAAATTTTACGTATACAAGGATTCGGAGTTTATCCAACTCCATTGTATTTTTGTTAAATTATGATGTTAAAATTTCTAATATATACGATTTATTAATAAAACATGGATATAAAACCAGAATTAATATACAAAATTCCAAAATTGGTTGGACCACTTACTGAGATTTACTTAGACAGAATATTAAGTTATTTTTCGACCAGCACATTATCGGACTCTATTAAAATAAATACTTTGCTTAATAATTTATCAAACGAGGTCTTTGACAATATTAAATCAATTTGTTCCGATACCGACATATTAGATCTTAAAATAGTGACTAAAAAGTTAACTTACCTTTTACCTGTGCAAGATAAAAACATTTTAATAAATAAATTTAACTTATTACAGCAGAACTCGAGTGAGAATTTCATGCAATGGTACATAAGAGTATCGAAACTGCATAAAAAATGTAATTTTTCGGACGACAGTAGATTAAAAGAAAAATTACGTACATCTACCTTAAATGACAAAATAAAATATAAATTTTGTAAAAATATTAATTTAACCTTAAATGAAATGGTAGAGCTAGGAATTAAATTAGATAGTATCAATGATAAATCAGATGTTGATAAATATAAGTTATATGAATAACGATAAAAAGTCTGATAAAGATAAACACTTTAACAATAGAAATAGAAATGACAATAATAATTATTTTAGACCTGATAATAATTTTAGAAATAATTTTAGAAATAATTTTAGAAATAATTTTAGAAATAATTTTAGAAATAATTTTATAAATAATTTTAGAAATAATTATGATAATAAAGATAGAGATAGGAATTACAATAATAATTTTAGATACAATGATAGGAATTATGGTAATAATAATTCGAGATACCACGATAATTATAACAACTTTAACTACAATAACTATCGCTACAACAATAATAATCAATCTAATTATGGTAGAAATGATACATGGCATGATAATAATCAAAGAAAACAAATCCAATACGGTGACAGAAATCGTAACATTTACCAATCTTATAATTATAGAGGTAGTGACAATAATCAGAGAAAGCAAATACAATATAACAACAACTCAAATAATTATAGAGGTAGCGACAACTATAATAGAAAGCAAATACAATACAACAACAATGATTACAATATGAATATTGAAGAAATTATTGAAGAAAAAGTTGACTCTACAAAGAACAAAGATGATAACGATTTCAATGTTAACAACTTATCTGGTGACATGCTCAATGACAAAGATAATGCATTTATGACTACTTTAAAAGTGAACGATATTGTTACATGTATGCAAGTCGATACAGGCTCAAAACATACTATTATACCTCATGGTCTGGCTAAAAAACTTGGTATTAGAGATGTTAAAAAATCCGAGTTACAACTTACCGCTTATGACGGAAATTTAATCAAAATCATCGGCATCACTCAAGTTAAAGTGACTTATGAAGGTATCTCAAAATATATACAAGCGGTAGTGATCGAATCAAGTAACAATGCCTTGTTGGGACGTACATGGATCAATGCTTTAAAAATAAATTTATAGCAAATGTTGACACTAATTACGAAGATGAAATAAAAAAATTGATTAAAGAGTATGAATCCAAATTGACTAATGGGCCAATCAGCAAAGCAAGTGTCAAGTTACATTTAAGAAGAGATGCCCAACCTAAAATTATACCGCCTAGACGTATTCCTTATTCAAAAATTGATCTTGTTAGCAATGAACTTAAAATGGATACATGATAAAATAATTGAGCCGGTGAATGATATCCGATGGGCAAGTCCTGTTACCGCTGTCTACAAAGATGATGGGAGCATTAGGCTTTGTGCTGATCTTAAGGACACTGTAAACCCAGCTCTAGAAGATTTCAGATACCCTCTACCACGAATCAATGATCTAATAGCTAAACTTTCAGAAGGAAAGAAATTTACGAAAATTGACTTTAAAAATGCTTTCTTACAGATCCCAATTAATAAAAGTTGTAGAAATATTTTAACCATATCTACGCACAAGGAATATTACCATTTTACTAGACTTTCTTTTGGGCTTAAGACCTCATCTGCAATTTTTCAACAGATCATGGATCAAATCTTCGGTGATATGGATGACGTTATATTTTATATTGATGATTTACTTATAACTGGAAAAAACGATGAAGCCCACCTTAACAACATAAAAAAAGTGTTTGATAGAATATCATCGTTTGGGCTGATACCTAACTTCAATAAAAGTGTGTTCTTTAAAAACAAAGTGAGGTTCCTGGGTCATGATATTGACGCCAAGGGGATTCATGCTAATCACGGCAAAATTGAAGCAATAATTAATATGCCAGAACCAAAATCAGCTGCTGAATTATCAACATTTCTGGGAATGGCTGGCTACTATAGAAAATTTTTGAACAATTTTGCAGAGATTGCCGATCCTCTATATAAGATTGTCAACAAAGAAAAATGGGCTTGGAACCTAGAACACTCTAAAAGTTTTAATGATCTTAAGAAGTTGATTAGTCTTCCACCTGCTTTGACATATTTCCCTGAATTACCTATAGGGATAACCACTGATATCGAAATGTGGTTTAGGAGCTGTACTATTTCATACTGAAAAAGATGGTAAAGAAAAACCTATAGCTTTCGCGTCAAGAACTTTATTAAAATCCGAAATGAACTATACTAATATTGAGCTTGAGGCTCTTGCTATTATGTTCGCTATAAGGAGGTTCCAGGAATACTTAATCA